TGTGCAGTCCATGTCTTGTTCTGGAAAGCCTTTATGTGAAAAATTGAAGAAAATGTGAATCTTTACCTTAAAAATAATTTGAGTTGAGTATGGTTAATATTTTGTGTAAACGGACCTGGATCAATATTTTGACGGTCCCGGTGGGTTCGTGTCATGAAGTTGGACTTGGCGTATGCTCGGAATTGAATTCGAAAGTCCCTAACTTGATCTAACATGATTTGTTGAGAGATAGTAATTTGAAGGTTTAAAGAATCCATAACTTTGACTGTAGGTTGACTTTCTTCCTACCGGGTCCAGATTTCGGTTCTAGGACTTTGTATAGTTTCATATTACTATTTATAACTTGTCCGCAAAATTTGGATCAATTCATTACTTATTTGACGTGATTCGAACGTCCGGTTGTAAGTTTGAAAATTCTTAAGTTTCTTTAAAATTTTCATATATTTTGATGTCTGATTTGTGGTTATAAGTGTTATTTTAGTATTTTGATCGTGCGAGCGTGTTCGTATGATATTATTACACTTGTGTGCATGTTTGGTTTGGAGTTCGAGGGGCTCGGGTGAGTTTCAGATAGGCTACAGATTGATTTTTGGTCTTGGGAGAAAACAGGTGATTTCTCCGTTGCTGGTGTGATCTGCAGATCCCGCATTTGCGAGGTCTGGATTACAAATGCGAGGCTCGCTTTTGCGATCATGATATCACATTTGCGACCAAGGGCTTGTACCAGATGAACACGCATTTGCAAAGAATAATTCGCATTTGCGAAATGTCAGAGCTCGCATTTGCGATTTCAGAGCTTGCATTTGCGACTCAGTGTATCTTTGAGATGTCTTCGCATTTGCAAAGGAATGGTCGTATTTGCGAAGGTTGTGTGTTCACATTTGCAACTTCTATTCTTCTTTGATAGTGTTTGCATTTGCGACTCTTGTCTCGCAATTGTGAACAAGACATTGCAATTGTGACATCCGCAGCTGGGTAAAAGAGGGACTTAGCTCATTTCTCATAATTTCTCAACCCTAAACACCCTAGTGGCTATTTTTCAATAGACGTTTCTTCCCAAATTCGTTGGTAAGTGACATTAATCCATTTCTTTTCAATTACCCATTACATTTCATGAGATTTCAACATCAAATTTGGGATTTTTATGGTAGAAATTAGGGGGTTTTGTAAAATTCAGATTTAGACCTCAAATTGAGGTCAGATTTTGAAAACAACCACATAACCAGCCTCGACGGTGAATGGGTAGTCATGTTTTGGTTCGAATCTCAGGTTTTGACCGAGCGGGCCCGGGGTTGACTTTTTTTTAACTTTTTCACAGATGATCTAAATTGAACCTCTTTCATTTGTGGGTAGTTTCTAAAGCTTATTTTGAATTGTTTGATCTATGTTTGGTTAGATTCGATTGGTTTAGCGGCGAGTTTTGGAGGAAAGGCCCCGGTTGAGCTTTGATTTGATTGCTGAGCGAGAAAAGTATTGGATCTAACCTTGACTTGATATAAATAGGAAAATGTGAACTATGTGCTATGTGGATCACTTGAGAAAACGACATATATGCGAGGTGACAAGTGTATATACGTCGTTAAGATATTTGCTTCCATGTTTCTCATTATTTCATGATTTATTTTATTCCATGTCTTAATTGTTACGTGCTTTAATTGCTTTCTATGCCATAATTTGTTATTTGTCATTTAATTATTCTTGTATCGAAGTGATCGACCCTTCAATGACTCCGTGCTTATTTAGTGCTTGCCTTAATTGTTTTACTTGTACACCTTAATTGTCACATGTTTTACTTGCCCTATTATTTTTCTTTGTAATATTTGTAGCATTCCTTTTATTATTATGTGGTTCCTTTATTGCTTTGCTCTCATACCCTTTGATTGTAGAGATTCTTGAAAATTGAATTATTAGACTGTTTATGTTTATTGAAATTGTTTGTGAATCGGGTTGCACGCCACAATGGTTTGTGATATGGGAGAATAAGAAGGATTAAAATATTGATAAATAATGATATGGTGGGATCGGGTTACGCACCGCAACAGTTTGTGTACGCAATACTTGGTATTGATTAACGATGATATGGTGGAATAAAGGAGGATTATGATATTGATTATGATGGTACGGTGTGATCGGGTTGCGCACCGCAACGGATTGTATATGTGATTCTTGATATTGATAAATGATTCTATGATGAAATAAGGGAGGATTGTGTGTATACAGTCGGATTGTGAGGTTTGAGTTCATCTTCATAAATTAACCGCAATGGTGTTAGTTTTCAGCATTTGTATAAGAAATTATGAGGTTTGTCATTCTGGGCTCTCTGATTGTGAGGTTTGAGTTCATCTTCATAAATTAACTGCTTTACTTTCATTCCTATTTTTCTTTCACGGTTATTATTATTATTATTATTATTATTATTATTATTATTATTATTATTATTATTATTATTATTATTATTATTGCGTACAGGTTATTGTAAGTGGTCCAACTTAGCCTTGTCACTACTTCGTCAAGATTAGGTTTGGCACTTACATAGTACATGGGGTAGGTTGTACTTATACTACACTTTGAACTTCTTGTACAGATACCGGAGCGGGACATAGCGACGTTCAGTAGATTTGCTTGGGTCCAGTTGTTAACGGAGATTTGAGGTACAGCTGCACAACATTCGCCCCGAAGTCCCCTTCCCTCCTATCCTTACTGTTTTTCTGAGTTTCAAAACAGTATATTTTATTCAAACCATGTTTGTAGCGCTCTAGATGTTCATGTACTAGTGAAACTAATTTGTGGGTTATGTTTAGACTCGCTATTCAGTATTACCATACTATGTGTCAGAGTTGTATCATTCTCAGTGTTATTATCTTGTCATAAATTATTAAAATCAGTAAATTCTCTGTTCACGTCGACTTGCCTAGCAAGTAGATGTTAGGCGCCATCATGACCCCGAGGTTTATTACGAGTTGTGACACGAAGGTACTTCTACGATGGCAAAAAAAATATTGGGCAGTGTATAAGATTGCATTTCCGGACTTAGCTCATTTCTATTTTATTTCTCTCGTTGGAACTGAATTTTGGACGATTTTGGAGAGGCATTTTCTTAATCTATCACAACATAAGTGATTCATACTCATTATGAGTTAAATACATGAATTATATATGATATTTAACATGGCAATTGGTAGAAATTATGGTATTTTGAAAAGAAAAAAAACTAGATATAATATTTTTGAGTTTTGACCACGAAATTGGACATGAAATTGGGAATAAATTAAATATTTGAATTTGTGGTACTATGAGTCATATTTATCTTCAAATATTTTCGGAATCAGGGCATGTAGGCCGAGGATTGACTTGTTGACTTTTCGTGTGGAGCTGAAAATTATTTCTAATTGATTAAATTTTGAGTCTGTGTGTATACTTTGATTTAGTTTGCACGTTCTTTGACTAGTTTCCGATTGTTTTGCATGAGTTCGAGGTGTAAGAGAGGTGTTGGAGTTGGTTATCGGATTTCGGAGCAAGCTAAGTCTCATGTATAACCTTGTAAGAGGAAATCTACCCCGTAGGTATTATATTGTTAAATGCTACGTATTATAGGAGCTACACACGTATGAGGTGACGAATGTCCCTGCATTTGCTAGATTCTTGATTATATCTGAGTAGAGTTAGACTCACACCATGTTCTACTTATACTATTTGAGTTATTCTTTCCTGTTTATATACCTTAATTATTATTTTAGCCTTAGACTAGACTTGCATAAATATCCCTCCATGATATTTTAAATACTTGACCGACTACCTGATTAGTCGTGATATACGTATATGTCCGAAAGTTTTCTCAAATTTCATAACTCACACATATATTCGTGAGTTAGGCCAATGAAGCGTCAAAGTTTTACATTCTTATGTGATTGAGTTGAACGCCTTAGTAGTAATCTTAGGGTATCGGATCGCTCGCCTCGGCAATATTATGTAACACATTCTTATGGGATCGGGTTGAACGCCTCATCAGTACTCTTATGGGATCAGGCTGATCACCTCGACAGTATTATATAACACACTCTTATGGGATTGGATCGTTCGCCTCAGAAGTTCTATGAAACACTCTTATGGGATCGGGCAGTTCGACTCGGCAGACTCGTGCGTTATATTTGATTGAGAGTCAGCATACCTATGAGTCTTCCCGACTTAAGCTTTTGCATTTTATTTGATAATGATCATTACGTATTCCATTTGAGGTTGTATCTGATATTTGAGGATTTCGTAATTATTATTCTGTTAAGGATCATGTTAGCACATATATATGTTCCGTTGCTTTTACTTGTTATGCTTCATACCTATCTACTTTTACATACATTGTTATTGAATCATTAGTAAGTATCGATGTTGATCCCTCATCACTACTTCTTTGAGGTTAGGCTGGATACTTATTGGGTATGCGCTGATTTACGTACTCATACTATACTTCTGCACTAATTGTCCAGGTACTGAGACATGTACATTTGATGGTGATTTGGTGCGTAGGCGCGGTTGTTGAGGAGATTTTGTGGTGAGATGCTCTTTATGTTATGATTCGCAGCACAAGAAGTCCCCATTCTATTCATTTACTGTTATTTGTCTATTTTCTATTCCTGTAGTAATATTATATATTCCAGTTGATGCTCATGCACTAGTGACACCGAATTTTGGAAATTTAGATTTTTGTTCTTGGTTGTATTTCCATTATGATATTAGAATTTATATTTCGACCACATTCGAACATTTAATATAATAACCATTACTTTTCTATAAAAACAAAGGAAATTCGCTTATTCCTTTCACCACTTATTATAAAATATATTATGACCCGCCGATTATCGTATTGTTTAATTGTTGGCGCTTGCCTAACGGCGGCGTTGGGCACCATTATGGCATATGATGGAATTTGGATTGTGACACTCTACCTTCTATTATATATAAATATACCCATGTATTAACACTTATATTCCAATACTCCCCCTCAAGTTGAAGGGTGTATAGATGTTCAACACTCTTAGCTTGCCAAGTAACATAGAAAGTTGCACAAAACTCAGTTCCTTTGTAAGCAAATCGGCTTATTGATCTTTAGTATTTAGATACTTTTTCTCCCACATCCCATGCTTGATCTTCTCCCTAATGAAGTTATAATCGTTCTCTATATGCTTTTGTTCTTTCATGGAAGATGAGAATGACAGCAATCAGCATTGTTGCCTTGCAATTACAACAAAGAGTCATAGATTTCTAGATTGCAACTCCTAGTTCACTGAAAAGGCCAATCAACCAAACAATCTCAGCTACTGTCGAGGTCATATTCCTGTACTCTACCTCTACACTGCTTATTGTAAATTGTGTGTTGCTTCTTGGACTTCTAGGATATCAAGGAATATCCAAGCTTCACAATATAGACACTAACATATCTTCTTGTGACTGGACATGCTGCCTAGTTTGAGTCGCAAGATGCAGTCAAAGTATCTGCAACTTCCTTTCAGCAGAATTCTTATTCCATGACTCATTATTCAAATATCTTACCACTCTTGTTGCCTTGTCCATATGTGATTATTTTGGAGCTTGCATAAATTGGCTCAAGCTTTGAACAACATAGATAATTTTGGGCCCTGTAACTATTACGTACAATAATTTTGCAATCAATTTCTTCGAGCTAATAGTATTAACTAGGTGGTCATCATCTCCAACCCCAACTACTTTGTCATATTCCAGTATAGTCAGCTTGTGGTTGAGTTCAAGAGGTGTAACTGCAGTCTTAGCAGCACTCAATCCCATTTCAGGAATAAATTTAAGTGCATATTTTCTCTGATTGAGTATAATCCTTTTCTTGTATCTCAGCACTTCAATCCCTAAAAAGTATATTAATTCTCCCAAATCTTTAAACTTTGAATTCTTGATTCAGCATACCATTGGCTTCATCAATCAGGTTTTTGTTTCTACCTATAAATAATAGATCATCCACATAGATCAACATGAAGTAATCATAAGAACTTCGGCAAAAGTCAGTCTTTGCCAAGGTTTTAGTCAATTTTAGATTCCGCTGCCTTGATGTCTGTTTGAGTCCATATAAGGACTTAAGTAATTTGTAAACCTTCTTATGCTTTCCCTGTCCTCGAAAATCTTGAGGCACGTCCATGTAAACCTCCTCATATAAGTCTCCATGCAAGAAAGTATTGAATACATCCATTTGATACAAACTCCAATCCTCAGAAGCTGCTAAAGCTATAACAGATTTTACTATTACCATCTTTGCCATTGGAGAAAATATTTTATAGTAGTCTAACCTTGCCTGTAGGTTTCATCCTTTAGCAACCAACCTAGCATTAAATATTTCAACCCTCCTATTTGTTTTGTACTTAATTTTACAGACCATTTGGATCCTATAGCAGTCTTCCCAACTGGTAAGTTCACTACTTCCCAGGTGTTATTATCTTCTAAGGCCAAAACCTCCTCTTGTATAACTTCAATCTACCTTTTATCTTTTACTTCTTCCCTGAAGGTTTAAGGCCTTTCATATTGAAATAGCATGCAAGTAATTTCTATATTTCTCTATCACATGTTCATAAGACAAGAAATATAAATAGGATATGAACTCTAAGAGGTTTTGGGAGGATTCAACACATAGTCTTGCGTCTGAATTAGAGGTTTTTTTGTGGCATGTCTGTTGGTAAACACCGGCGAGTTATTCTTCTAGAATAGGTAACTTTGACTCTATGATATCTAGAGATTCTGCTGGAACTGTACTCCCTGTATCATCACCCTGTTAGATGTTTACCTTATTTTAAATTGTTATCATGTTTTTCTTTAACAAATTTTATATTTAATTTGTTAATTTAACTGATATTTTGCTTTGTTTAAAAATGATACTTTTACTCAGTTTTATTTATTTCTAAACTAAACCCATCGGATACTCTGTTTTGTATAAATTGTATATTATTTTACTTTATTATTTTTAAAATAAACTCATTATATTATTTGACACCTTACTTTATTCAAGATTGTTATTATGTTTTAATGTGTTTAAATATATCTCTCGTTCATCTAAATTGATATTTGTCAGGGTTGCAAAGTACATGGTAGCACGTGGGCTTTACTGTGCGACGATGACTATTATTGTGGGCACGAGGTGCCATATGTGTAAGAATTGAAAATTATGGTTCATGACTTGTGATTTATGAGGTGTGGTGCCTCGGGGTAATTCTTGTTGTATGTTCATGCAATGGGAGCGATTTGATTATTCGAGTTGTCATCCATTTTTCCTTACTTGAGTTTATTTATATCTCATCGGTGTTCTGATTATGTTGTTTCTTTATTACTCATTTACTACTTGTTTATCATTTATGTTTCAATTATTTCATTGTTGGTTCTAAATCGATTATCTTTTCCTTGTTGGTCTTACATTGAATTTCTTTCCATTGTTAGTTTATGTATATCTTGAACATGTTTCTATGTCTAGCAGGTATCCTGACTTGGCCTCGTCACTACTCTATCGAGGTTAGGCTTGATACTTACTAGGTACTATTGTGGTGTACTCATGCGACGCTTCTGCATATTTTATGCAAATCTAGGTATTCTGATCGTGTTGTTGAGAGTTGCTTCTGCGCAGCGGGAGACTTCAAGGTATACCTACTTGACGTTCGCAGGCCTCGAAGTCACCATCTTACTTTATTATGCTACTATTAAATTATAATTCAAAACAATATTGTGTTTAGAAATTCTAGTATGTTTCAGTAGTGCTTATGACTCCGTACTACCGATTTTAGGAAATGTATAACTATTGGGCGCTTGCGGCTATGTATGTCATTTAATGGTTTATGATTAATGATTAAATAGTTCAATTCTGTTATTATATCAGCATGTGTTAGTCTTACCTAGTCTTAGAGACTATGTGCCATCATGACATCCTAAGGTGGGAAATTGGAGTTGTGACAGTGGGTATTTTCGTACGGTTAATATGATGTTGGCACGATAAGTATTATTTCTGTGCGGTTTGAAATGAAATTAGTTTGTTTGTTATTACTGTGGAAAAGGAAAGAAATTGGATTTCTGTTATGATTACTCATTCGTTAAGCACTTACATTCCCCTTTATTTTAGTTTCTGAAAAATGTTTGTTGTTTAGTATGATACCTTCCGCTTGAGTTCCCTTGGTAGTTACCTCTGCATTTTTCCTTTGGGCCATTACTGTTATAGCTATGTTGTTGCCTTGTTTGTTATTGTTATACCTGTATTTTACTTGATTTACTTATGTTACATGTCCTCTTCGAATTCATGCCGCTACTTGTTATTAGCCTATACCGATTTTATGCCTCTAATTGTCACGTGATTTACTTGTTAAATCCCTTAACATGCTACATGTCTTCACTCACTACATGCTTTCACTTACTACATATCTTCACTTACTATTGATTTTACTTACCATATGCTTTCATTTATTAAATGCATTTACATGCTACATGCTTCTACTTGCTATATGATTTCATATACTAAATGCCTTTATCTGATCCATGTTCCTACTTGACAAACATCTTTACCGTTTCATGTTCTACTCTCTTTTGCTTAACTGGAGTGGGTGACTTTTAGATTGGTTGTGTGTTATGCATTGTGGAAGCCTTGCCATTTGCCATTTTATACGGTAGACTAGCTTTTGATATTGGATTGCTCTCTTACTCTGTTTGAGTTGTATTGTCTAGTTGAATACCGCGTGTTTATTTTCTTAGTGTTACAATGTGAACTTTGTCTGTGTTTGGTTGTTGTTGCGGTTTCATGTTATATTATTGATATTTGGATCGGGTTGCAAGCCGTAACAGAGTTTATTGATATTGGGATCGGATTCATGCCAGAATAGTGTTTATTGATCCTGGGATCGGGTTGCACACCACAACAGTGTTAATTAAGATTAGGATCAGGTTGCACGCCGCAACTGTATTTGTTGGTGGTGTTTGGTTATGATCCCTGTGCATATTTCATGATTATTATTCCCTGCGTAGAAATAGTTATGAGGTCATGTGTTATTTTCCATGTCTGTTAACTTGCTCCATAGCTTTTCAGTTGATATTCCTACCATTATTCGACATATTTCTTACCTTATTTTTTCTGCTTATTATCTACACAGGTATATATTAAGTGAGTATCTCTAACTTAAAACCTCTTCACTACTTTACCGAAGTTAGCCAAGATATTTACTGAGTACATGAGATCGGTTATCCTCATACTACACTTCTGCATCTTGCATGCGGATCTTGGAGTTGCGTAGCTGTGGAAGACGAAGCCCGGCATTGAAGACGTACCTGCGTTCCAGATTCAAGCTGCCTCTTGTTCATGGTAGTTTAGGACCTAAATTCTGTTTATGTATATTTCAACCAAATATTGTATTTATCCTTCATATCGACTTTGTAAGTCCTAATCATTGTGGCTCATGACTTGTACTACCAGTCCTTGAGGTAGTTATATTATATTCGGTTGTAGTTTCTATTATATATATTACAATTTAATTGTAACTTATATTGATTGTCTTACCTAGCGGGTTGGGTTAGGTGTCATCACGGCTTAACAAAATTTTGGGTCGTGACAAATTCTCATCGATCTACTCCACAAACCAAAGTTATCCCAGCCTGAAAGTTTCACTAAAATTAGCACAAATCCAAGCATATTCGAAGGATGAACATACAACGGATGAGTATGATCGATTTTTGTATTCTCCATTATTGAGCATTCTCGACAAAAACAAAAAGAAAAAAAAAAAGATAAAATAATGAAACAATTCGAATCAAAGCTGAAACAACTGTAACACCAATATCTGTGGCTCTGATGCCATGTTAAAGTTAGCCATGGAACTAAGAAATTTAGCTTAGGGAGCAAATATCTGAAGAGAAAGTCAGATATTTTTCATTAAGAGAGCTCAGAAAATGAAACTAAGCTAACGATTGTGATGATATAGAGCTTACACCTACTAACTCACTAGCTACTGGATATACTAAATAATAAACATGAACCCTAACTTATATTATTAAAAAATACACCCATATACTAATGCCTAGACTCCAATAGGAAATTATAAAGAATTCTGATTTTGTAAAAAGAAGAGGAAAGAAAATTATGTCTTTTTTATAAACTCAATTTTTACTTCCTTTAAGTCGTCGCATGTGTTGATTATGTAGATTTATCATTATAGATAAAAGGCTTTGAATATTTGTTGCAGATTTTATGCAAAGATACGGAAAAATGAGTGTTTCTTAACCATACCATAACTAGGTCGTTTTTCAATCATTTTCTTTTGGGAAAATATAATCAATCTAATTGTAACGCCCAATAATGATAATCCATTAATTAATTGTACAATTAAGTACACTTATTATGTCCCCTTATTCTTATCAAAAGGTGAGAGTATCATTGAGATTAAAACAAGAAAGAAGAGTTACAAAAAGACTTTATGTAGCTTTAACTGTGCCTCTCAAAGATTAGTCAATGCCGGTTAATGACTGCTATTTATTAAGATTACTACTGCCAACTTGCCAAGTGACAACTTACTAGGTAAAGAAAGTAAAAGACATTATTGTTTATTTCGTGTGGCATTAAGTAGGGACTTTTTATTTATTACTCCCTCCGGTCTACTTTAATTGGGTTTTTTTTTACTGTTTTTACACATATTAAAAAATTCAACCTTTTAACATTATTTAACAATAAAATTGATCATATTAATATTAATTTGTTCATTTATGTTCTTTACTTCAAAGACAATTTTGAAAGAAAAAAAGTTAATTCTTTCTTGATATTTAAAAAATTAAATATTATAGATCACAAATAAAAGACCAAAAAATTAATTAAAGTGGGTATAATACTACGTGTATAGAATACAAAAGAAAGAGAACAAATGCCCTTGACAAACACCTCCATTGCAATAGACGTTAGCTTTTTGGTAAAAAGACAAGATAGAAAGAGACTTTATGTAATCTTGTAAGCCTATGAAAGACTAGTCAAGGTCTGCGCATGGCTGCTATTATTAAGATTTTAAAAGTGACAAATTAGAGAAAGTATAAAAGACATTGTTTATTTTGTGTGGCATTAATTATAATAATACGTATGAAAGAAAGAGAATCAATGCCTTTGACAAACACCATTTGCAATAGACGTTTGAGATTTTATGATATTTATTAATTTCAGCTAATATCTGAACAACATCCTTAAGTTAATGATATTTATTTCAGCTAATACAAATCAAATTTTGGTGTGTAATTTCCCATCTTGATAAAAAAAAATCATAATTTGATTTCTATCAACTTATATATACAAACGTTGTTTAAAAATTTACACTATCGGTATAATTTCCTTAGCCGGAATACATTGTATACCTTATTTCAAGTAATTATGTTCACTTATTATGAATAATTTATGCAGTTACCTTTTAGATGATCTGTAAATCATCTTTAATATTATTAATACATAGAAATTAAATTCTTTTCATAATTTTATTTTTCTACTAGATGAATCAGTCTATGTTGAATTACTTTAGAGAGAAAAAAAGGTTAATTGATGTTTAGAAAGCGAAAGTGATCTATTAAATTGGAATGAATAATATTATCCTCATGAATAGGATTATCTAATATTTGTATAGTTTTCATAGGCCAAACATAAACTTGATGGTTGCAAATTTTGAAAACAAAAATCACATATTTGTTATCACATGGAATTGATCTGAATTTTATATTACAATAATCTAATGACGAAATAAAATCCCACTTGGTGGATTAGGAAAGAAAGGAATATGCTCTGATTTTCTTAATAATATTAAAATTCTAGAATTCTCCAACCTTTTCCTCCTACAATTGTTTGGAATTCATATAAAGAGATCTCACTGTACAGTACAGATTCTAGTTTGGTATTATTTGACTTCAATTAAATATACACTTTGATCGAGATGTGCTCTCCTCTTCAATTATTTTGGACGACTCTTATAATTCTTTATGACAACATGGATCACCCCTTGGTTAATACTAACTAAATAGCCTAAATAGGAGGAGTAACCAACAAGGCTTGCTGCAGAATGGTAAGTATTTTTTTTCATGTTTAATCAGATATCTTGAGTTCGAGCTTTAAAAATATGTCGTCTATATTAAAAAGTATTTTACTCCCAATATACGACTTTTCGGTGCGAGTCTAGATTTCATCGGTCCCTAATATAAATATCGATCAATAAATTGAAAAGCAAAGATAAATATAAGAGCCAAAAAAAATAAAAAAGCTAATGGAGCACTGCTTATCTTTATTCTTCTTCATATTCTATCACAACTTTAATTGCATTTATCCATGCCAAGGACCTTCTAATTTGATTATGAGATGTAGGCCATATAAATTTAGAGAGGGACAAGTTATGAATATCTACTTCTTATGTAACACTTAAAATTGTTGATAAAATAAATGGTGTTGGTATTATTTATATTTGGTAATGCAAAGTCAAAGATTTTTTTTGTAGTCCCTTTTTTTCTTTACTTTTTTGTCTTTTGTAAAAAAATAAAGTGTCACTCATTAATTGTAGAAAGTCTTTTTCTCCTCTTTATATTAAATTGCTCTTTGTTGGGCTTGTAAAGAGCTAGTAAAAGAGAGTGGCCTAGCGCACATGAGAAATTTGGTTTTGCTAAAATTATTTTTTCATTTTTTGAGCTTACCAGAATATGTCCAAATTCATTCTCTTTGAATTGAATTTTGTAACGTTCCATTTATTTCTTTGTAACTTCCATACTTTAATTTCTATAACAACTATGTTTAATTTTTGTAACAACTCCATCTTTAATTTATGTAACAGCTACAGATTAATTTCTTCATTTGTAACTGTCCAACAACTTTTCCTATAAAAGGTAGTCTTCTTTGTAAATTATCCGATAGAGAAAACACCTTCATCTTCTCTTCTTTCTGGGCAATTGTTTTATGCAAGTTCCAAACTTTCAGCCACGAGTGCACGTGTTTGGAGGTGTTGTGGAACCTTGGGGAGCGACCGGTTTTAACGATTTGCACTCAGTCAGACCGAAATCACTTTCAAAGCAGTGGCTTGCCACAACACAATATTTTATAATGGGTTGTTCTTGTTTCTTTCTTCTTCTTAGTCAATATCTTCTACTCATTTTTCTTACAATTTGAAAGTGATTCTTACATGTAATATTGACTAATGGCTACCACTTTAAACAAAATACTTCCTAGTCTATCAAAGCTTGAGCCTTTAGATGGAACATTTATAAGCGTTGGTCCCATAAACTTTTAATTTTCTTTTAATTTGTTGCTGATAGTTCTAATACTACTATTGTTGATGCTGATAATTTTGCTAAGAAGAAATTTGAATAGGATAATAAAACTGTTCGAGGGCATCTGCTTAATATATGACTAACCCTCTTTTTGATTTTTTTATAAATTATAAATCTGCTAAAGTCATATGGGACAGTTTGGAGAAGATATATTGGTGCATATAATGCGGGGAAAAAGAAGTACGTAGTTGGAAAGTAGATCAACTTTCAGATGGTTGATGATAAGCCAATCATGGAGCAATTTCACGAGTATGAGAAGTTGATTGCTGATGTTTTGAATGAAGGCATAGAGATGTGTGAGATTCTTTAGGGTAATGTTCTGCTTGAAAATTTTTCACCTTCCTGGAGTGATTACAGGAATCAACTGAAACACAAGAAGAAAAATTTAACTCTTCAAGAACTGATTAGTCACATGAGGGCTAAGGAAGAAAATCGTCTCAAAGATGAGGAAGCTGAACAACTTAAGGATAAGATGAAATCTCTCTCTCTTAATTCTTCTAAAGCTAACCTTGTGGAATCTTCTAGTACTTTTGTGAAAGACATGTTTAAAGAAAAATAGAAGAAATGACATATGAAGAAATAGAATTGCTTTAATAAGCCAGAGGACCATATTCAAAAGTCGAAAGGACATTGCTATGTTCTGTGGCAAAATTGGTCACAGGACTTTCCAGTGCAACCAGAAACAAGGACAAAGCTCAAAGAATGGAGGAAAAGCTCCAGTCTAAGCTAACTTTATTGTGGGTGGTGATGTCATTACTGTTGTGGTCGTTGAGGCAAATATGATGGCTAACAAGACTGACCGAATACTGGGCACAGGCACTTCAATGCACCTTTATACTAACAAGGAGTTATTTCACGACTTTGAGGAATCTGCTGAGGGCGAGTATGTCTACATGGGTAACTCCAATATAGCTAGAGTTATAGGTAAAAGAAAAGTTCTGCTTAAGTTAACTTCTAGAAAAACCTTAGCCTTGAACAATATTCTGTACGTACCCTCCATTCGTAGAAACTTAGTTTCTGGTGCGCTTCTCAACAAAGCAGGTCTTAAACTTATTTTTGAATCGGATAAAGTTGTTATTTCTCGTGGGAGAGACTTTGTTGGGAAAGGTTACCTCAGTAAAGGTTTATTTTTACTGAACATCGCTCAAGCGATTACTAATAATGCTAGTACTTTCAATTCTGCTTATATTGCTGAGTCCATTGATTTGT